AACCCACGGGCTCAGGCAATCCACTCACCTCAGCCTCCCAAAGGCGCGGGATTACAGGCTGAGCCACCAAGCCTGGCTTATTTGCCTTTTCAAAAGAGGCAGGAGTCCAGGTAAAGACTTCCTAGCCTGTCTTCTTTGTAAATGTTCCCCATTTCTGGTAAATGCAGAGCTTCCTCTTGGGCCTCTCTCATTACCCACAGGTAAAATTAACTATCACAAACATAAAATAAGACAAACACAGACAATTTACATCTTACAGACCATCACTGAAAGAACTACTGAAGGGAAGTTCTGTTTTCTAGCACTCTAACCCTCCTCCTAAATACATAAAAATACATCCTCTTATATGCTTCAATAAATTGACAGTAGAGAAGGTAAAAAAGTTAAGTGCTGTCAGGAACACAAAGAGTAAGCAGCATACCGAATTTAGCTTTGAACTTCAGGGATTTTACCAAACCCCAGTAAGTTTAAACTTCCCTTTTGATGACCTTGTGGGACTCAGAAGACAGAAGATAAGATCAGAGCCTTTAGGAGATAGGGACAGGCTGGGGATAGAGAACATCATGAGGGTTCCTCTGATAAAGTTAGGTCCACAAAGGTTTCAGTTTAAGAGTGAACTAGAAATAAGCCCCAGCATCCCCAATGGACTTCAGAGGAAACTGCTTGACTTGAAATTTGGTGCTAAATAGAGGTGGAAAAATTTTTCTTTGAGAATGTCTAACCATAAACCAGCCCTTGCATCAGTTTGCAGCCTAAATTCACAATATAGGATGGTGTGAAAAATTTTAAGCTAAAATTTTAGTTTAAAATGGTATGGACTGGTATTTCCATAGGGCACTTGGCCACAAGAAACACAGATAGTCTCCAGAAGAATCCACCTTTATTCCCAGGGTTCAAAGAAGTCTCACAGATAAAGATCCAAGCCCACAATTAAAAAAAAAAATCACACCAAAAAATGAGGAAATATGTTAATATGAATAAGACCAAGAACCATAGGCAATTAAAACTGGGAAAGACTTCAGAAAATATAAACAAACATTGTAGTCAAAAGAAAAAAAATTATCAGAGTGGATTTCAAGATAAATCCGACCATATGTTGTTTGTAAGAAACACACCTAAAGCAAAAGGATGCAGATAGAGTGAAAGTGAAGGATGGCCAACTGGCTCTATCTCTACCCTCATGCTCCTTGAATCTTCAGTCTATCAGATTCATGATGCCCCCTTGCTCTTTGACGCTTTCATTTGGTTATGTTACAGTTTTATCTTTTAATCTTTTTATTTTAGAGATGTGGGGTACAATTCAGGATTAAGTACATATGTGGTCATTGTACTACAGCTGTCTTTTTTGCCTTTTCTAACAATCCCTTGCATTTTCCCAATAATCCTTCTTCCTTCTCAGAATTCTAAGCGTTCTTCTATTAATAATAGACTTTGTTCTATTTTCTGGAGGATCTCAAAGAGTATCCCCTGACTACCTGCATCAATATCACGTTGGCTAATTGCCAAGTACAGAATTTTCTCAGCTATCACCCATATATCCTGATTCCTAGATTTAGGAAAGGACTTGGGAACTGCACTTTTAAACACATGCTGCCAGTAATTATTTTATACTCTATAGCTTGAAAATCACTCTGATATGGGGGGGGCACACAAAAAAACCCATAATTATCTTTTGGAGGGCAGACTCATCGTAGTACAGGCTTCCCCTGCTAGGTAAGTATTCTAGGAACCCATCAGCATCAGGGTACCAGTTAATGTTATTGTGAGAGCCTGCATTCAACTTCAGTGAATTCTGTTTTGGAGATTCCTTCCACTAGTTCGCCCATTTCATAATGGGTGATTTACAAGCATACCCGCCCATACTGCACTGAGCAGTTTTTTGTCAAAAAACATGACCCCTGAATCCTTCCCTATTCACCCGATGTCGCCCCCCCAAGAGACATATTTTGTTTCCCTGGATGAAAATGTTCTCAAAGTTGACTGGATAAAAAATGTGGTACATATACATGATGGAATATTATACAGCCATAAAGAAGGACAAAATCATGAACTTCACAGCACCCTGGATGGACTTAGAATCTATAATACTGAGTGATGTATCACAGAAACAAAGAACTGCGTATCACATGTTCTCACTCATAAGTGGACCTTGAACAACTATCTTAATACTATAAGAAAAGGATTGGCAGTAGTGGGAAACTGCTGGTGGGGGGTTGCGGAGGCAGGATTGGCAGTAATGGGACTCTGCCAAGGGAGGGCATACCTCATCAACAAGGGTGCCTACATAATGAACATCTGTATACCTAACCCTGAATTGTACCCCACATCTTTAAAATAAAAAAAATTAACAGAGAAAAAAAAAAGAAAAAGTTCTCAAAGGGAAACATGTTGTTGATGTAGAAGAGGTGGGGGAAAAAAACAACAAAAAAATGACAGAAGCACCTAAAAGGCATTAAAATTGACGAGTTCAAAACTGTTTTGAGCAGTAGGAAAAGCATCTGGATAGGTGTACTGCATCAAACAGAGAGTACTTTGAAAGAGACTGAAGCTTAAACAGGTAAGAATAAATACACAATTTTTAAATAAATAAATCCTGAATTTTTGGGGTGTCTCTCCCTTAAACATTTTCCTTTCAAAGCATTCATGTTTTCATGGCTTCAAACATGACTTTAGTATCTTCCCATCTCTTCTCACCTAAACTGCAGTTCTAGATCTTTTTTTAGCAGCATTTTCCTTGGAGTAGTCATCAATTTGACGTGGAGTATAACATCAATCATCTTTGTTAAAATTTAAGAAATTATGTATAACTCAACCTCTCTTTCATCAACAAATCCAATTAGCAACCACTCATATTATTTTTCTCTAAAATATTCTCCAATAAATTCTTTCATTCCATTTTTATTGCTATCTCCTTAGTACAAACTCATTACTTTATACCTAAATTTGTATAATAACTTATTTTTCTGTTCACAATTTCTAGTCCTATAATCCACCTAACATACTGCTGCCAGAATAATTTTCCTTAAATATCACTTTTACCATATCACACTGATGCTTAAAAAATCCCTCCCATTATTCCTTAATTTCTGTAATAATCAAACTTAAACTTCTCTGCCATGTGTGTTACCCTCCTTCATAATCCACCCACTCAATGTAGTTTTCCACCATCCAGTACATACTCTCCACTTCAGTCAAGATAATCCCCTGCTGTCATAAACATGCATGGCAAATATGATGAGAAACCACCACTCATGGAATGCAATCTGAGAGCAACTTTTTTTTGCTCCTATTTAAATTTATTGTATGTGGCCAGGTGCTTTTCCCCTACCTCTAAGTGAAAACTCAGGAAGCTCCTATGACTTCTACAGTCGATATCAACCAATTGAAATCCTTTGTTACTTTCATTCACAAAACAGTCTGAATTTAATATAGTCATGCTCTGCATAATAACATTTCTGTTCCCAGTAAAGGACTGCTTATATGACAGTAATCCCATAAAATGATAAGGAAGCTGAAAAATTCCTATCACTTAGTGAGGTCACAGCCACATTGTAGTACCTGCATTTCTCATGTGTTTGAGGTGATGCTGGTGCAAATATATCTGCTGTGCTGTCAAATGTATAAAAGCATTGTACACATTTATGTACATAAGTATACACTTAAGTGCATAGTACCTGATAGTAATAATAGATGCCCATATTACTGTTTCATGTATTTACTATCCTATACTTTTATTGTTATTTTAGAGTGTTTTTATTTTTTAAAAGTTAATCATAAAACAACCTCAGGCAGGCCCTTCAGGAGGTATTCTAGAAGATGTCATTGTTATTACAGGAGGTAACTTCACCATGAGTGTCTATTGCCTCTAAAGACCATCCAGTGGGACACACTGAAGGAGAAGACAGTGATATGGATGATCCCGACCCTGTGGAGGCCCAGGCTAAAGTGTGTTTGTGTTTTCATTTTTAACAAAAAAGTTTAAAAAGTAAAAAAAAATTTTAAATTAAATTTAAAAATAGAAAAAAGCTTATAGAATAAGGATATAAAGAAAGAAAAGTTTTTTGTACAGCTTTATAATGTGTTTGTCTTTTAAGCTGCAGTCAGTTTTCAAACAATTAAAAAGTTTATAAAGGAAAAAAGTTATAATAAGCTCAGGTCAATTTACTTTTGAAGAAAGAAACACTTTTTAAATAAATTAAGTGTGGCTTAAATGTGTACAGTTATAAAGTCTACTGCAGTGTACACTAATGTCTGAGGCCTTCACATTCACTTACCTCACTTGCTGATTCACCCAGAGCAGCTTCCGGTCTTGTAAGCTCCACTCACGTTAAGTGCTCTATACAGGTGAGCCATTTTTATTTTTTATGCCATCTTTTTATTGTTCTTTTTCTATGTTTAGATAGATATGTTTAGACACAAAAATACTTCCTGTTGTGGTACAATTGCCAGTATTCAGTAACACACAGTACAGGCTTGCAGCCTAGAAGCAATAGGCTATCCCATGCAGCCTAGGTGTGTAGTAGGCTATGCCATCTAGGTTTGAGTAAGCACACTCTATGATGTCCACACAGTTTCAAAATCACCTAATGATGCATATCTCAGAATGTATCTCGTTCTTAAATGACGCATAACTATAATTAAAATATAAAGGACACACAGAATGCAAACTCTAAACTTACTTTGAAGTTTGGTGGGGCTTGTGTTGCAGGTCAGAAGCAGTTGGCTGCTTCTCTTTTTCCTCATCCAGCTCTGCTTATCCTCCTTTCTCATTTTGCTAATCTAAGTTTCTGAGTCATCCAAAATTAAACCAAGGAGGAAGAAGAGGAGAAGGGATGGCCAGGGAAGTTCTTACTTGACAGGCACTTACATCATTACATCTAATATAAGCACATTTTGTCCTGGGCCGTTGTTTCAAACTCACTTTCTCTTATCAGTGCTTTCACGGCTGTTTTGGAGGCTTCTAACCTCTAACCTGAAGCCACCTTTGCAGAGGTGAACACTCTTTTCCGACTGTTCATTACCTCCTTGTCTCCTGAAAAGCTGACCGTATTCAGAACTTCTCTCTCTGGTCCTTTCTGAACAGGGTCTAAAAACAACTCCACGCTAGCTCTCCCTCACAAACAGCCCACATCTAGGTGAAACAATTAAGTACTCTTTGCCTCTACAGATGCCTGGAGTGCAGCGTGTCTCCATTTTGACATCTGTCCTTTATTCTGCTGTCAGTCATTCCCTCTTATAGATTTCTCAGGTAAGAATCAGACATGAGTCTATGGTGAGCTGCATACTTCAGGGAACACATCATAAGTTCTCTTGTAGTTAGTAAGATGCAGGTACTCCACTCTGGGGGAACCCACAAACCAATGCCAGCCTGCTTCAAATTATCAACACTTTCTCCCCAACATTTTATATTTTTGGCAAAGGGGATCTTCTTTGTAAAGGCTGCATAAGATCTAATTTCCCTATGGAATGTAGAGCTCACTAAATATCTTAGTGACTCAGTCCAAACTTACATTTTCATTTCTTGTTATGAATGCTTAATAATTTCCATCTCCAGGTCTTCATTTATGATGTTTGCTTCTCTAGAATGTGTTGATTCTTCCCCAACTTGCTTATCCAAATCCGAGCTATCCTGTAAGGCTTGAGTATCACCCGGTTCATGATCCCTTGCTTGACTATTTTAAGTTGTCCAGAGCTCTCTTCAGAAGCCTATATGACCTGCATTAACTACAGTCATCACTACACGGAGCTTGCCCTCAGAATTTCCTTTTCGTGGAAGATAAATACAGTCACCTGCCCAAGATAAAAGTGACACTAGGGCCTACAAACTTGATTGTACTAAAAATACAAAAACCTCTTTAAAAAATAGGCTGACCCCAAGGGCAGTTGATTAATCCAGAAAAAAAGTAGGAAAAAGAGAAGCAAATGTTAGATATGGACATCCAGATCCAGTAAATCTCTCTGAATAAACACGCGCCACTTAAAATAAGGAAGTATTGGGATAAAGTTCATCCTTGTATATGCTTAATATTCCACACATTCTCTTTTCTTTAAACATTTGAATACAAAGAGGAGTTAGAAAGCTAAAAACTCATTTACTTAAATCCAATATTCTTTTTCTTCCGCTTTATTGAGGTATCATTAACTAATAAAAAGTGCATATTTGAATCCAATATTCTTAAATAAACTGAACTTTCTATTAAAAGTTGAGGAGCCAGAGAATATGTCTCTTATGTGTGTGTCTATATATAGATACATGTATATATATGTTTATATACAATAAATAATAAAATCATAAAATGAATAGCTCTCTTTGCCTATATATTTTTCAGCCTAAAATGATGACACTGTATTTTAATACTTTAAAGTACAGTGATTATTTAGCTCCCATTTTTCATGACATTTGTAAATCATCATCAGTTCAGGGACAAATTTCAACTTTAAGAATAGTCATTGATAAATTTACAGAGCACTGGTAATTTTACATTTTAATGACTACTTGGATTTATACATAACAATTATAATGTACAATGTTATTTGTCTATGTTCTTTATCTTGTCACTTTTCATTTAAATAGAGGCAACTTCCAGGATGAAATATTTTTTAAATTAATAGAGTACTAAAAGAACTTTAAAAGTCCTCTCCTAATTAAAAGTTATGATATCTATTACAGATTACATATAATATATATCATAACTTTTATATAATCTGTAACATATATCATAACTATATATATATATAGTCATGCTCTTCTACTATTTAAGCAATACAGGAATTAAATCTCCTGGAAAAGAGCTATGGGATAGTTAAAAAGAACAAAAATAAGCACAAAATTATGACTTTCCCAGACACGAAGTCTGTAAGGGCAGTTTTCTCAAAAATAGACACGGACCAGAAACTATAGGATATCAATACCAATTACGTATTGGGTATTGATATTTTTGAAGTCTCTCCTAGATTCAGTTTGTGAGAAATATAGAAACTTATTGCCCACATGTATGACACTATGTTATTTACTTTGCACACAAATATGGATGACTAAGTTGTAGCCACTGAAAAGACTAGAATGGATTCAAAATTCGATCTCATACTGACAACTACAAAAACTCTTCAGAAAAATGTACCTGTTTTGGAAAATTCCACTGAATTCTATTTATTCAATTGAAAAAAATAAGTAAAAAACAACACATAATTTGGTGTACACATAAGCTAAAAAAGCTTAAAAAAAGGAATTCCCATCACAATGAGAGATCATTTTTCTATCTTAATTAATTAGAATCAATAGAACCATTTATCTTAGCTTTGTCCTTAGATTTTTTTTTTAAGTCACAGTCATCAAAACAGCTTGAAGTCGGGCTTGGTGGCTCAGCCTGTAATCCCACGCCTTGGGAGGCTGAGGTGAGTGGATTGCCTGAGCCCGTGGGTTCGAGACCCACCTGGGCAACTTGGTGAGACCTCATCTCTACAATAAATCAAAAAATCAGCCAGGCATGGTAGCGCGCGCCTGTAGTTCCAGCTACTTGGAAGGCTGAGGTAGAAGGACTGTCGGAGCCCAGCAGGAGCGGCCACTGTACTCCAGTCTGGGCGACAGAGTGAGACTCCAACTCAAAAAAAAAAACAACAGCTTGGAATGGAAGTTCAAGAAGAAAATTCAAGTGTCAGGTTTACTACTATGTCCCTGATTAAGTCCCTAAGACTTTTAGGATCTTCAGTCTCTTAATTTGTAAAAAGACATAAAAATATCCATCTTGCTTATACTATAAAGCTGATGTAAGACTCAAATAGGCAATGTAATATAGAGAAAAGACATTGAAAAGTATTATTAACTGAGACAAAGCAGTACAGGAACAGATCACAGGTCCAAGGTAGGGTTCAAGTCCAATTTCACCATTACCACCAGTGTATCTCTAGGTAAGTCAAACTCCTTTCAGTCTCAATTTCTTCCTTTGCTCAATGAGGCAGCTGATTTTTAAGGTTCTTTTTATTTCTATGAATCTGTGATCTTGTACTGAACAAGATAATGAGAAAATTCTCTAACATGCTTCTGTTTCCTATGAAAGTAATATACATTGATTAGGTGTTCCATGATAAATTCTGGACTCTGTATTGCAAATCAAAAAAAGGTCATCATTTATTTGGCATGAGCAGGCTCATATCCTTTATGAAATGAGGTGTGGTATTAATTTATTAACTACATAGCAGAATGTTAAATGTAGGAAGGCAGCAATCATGAAAAATTATGAGAATCATTACATTAAATCTGAACACAAAACTAACATGAAAAAAGAGTCTGTCCTTGAAATAAATAAAAGCAGAGTCTATGCAATACGACCTCTAGTCCATGCTAAAATCCATAAACCCCATAAAACAGAAGATTACAGGTAAACTTGGAGATATGGCTGCCTTGCCTGGCAGCTTGATATCTTTTTTATTACCTGCTCCTCTGTGGTGCTAAACTAGGATTTTGCATATACCACAACTAAACAGAGAACACTCAGTAAACTGGGCAATATAAGCTTGTTGCTCTAAGTACTACAAGAACAGGGACTTTGTCTGTTTTATTCACAGATGGATCTCAAACACCTAGAACACTGCCTGGAACACAATAAGCAAGGACTAAATATTTATCCAATAGCTGAACTTGCTTCTATTTTCTGCCTAATAGGTAAGCTACACTCTTTTTAGAACTTTTGTTGACTTTTCTTTGTCATTAACTTACTTCTATTTTTTAAAAAAGAGGCTAATTATAAGAATTTAACCAAAGGTGATCCTAGTCAAAAGTGACAATAATGACACATACAAATGCTTCAAATCTATTTGTCACCTTAAAATAATCCAAATTAGAAGGAAAGTTTCTTTCAGTGTAAAGTTACAAAATCCATTAGGACTAACTCCAAAGTTAAGGAACTCTTCTTTTTCACGCTACCAAAGAGAGTACTTCAAACAATGGAGGAAGAAGTCTACATATAATTCATAAAATGGAATTAAAAATACATGAAAAAGAGCTATTAATAAACATGACTTTTGTGTTTTTTCCTTTTGTAACTCAAAACAGTGTGGTCTGCCTCGTGCCCACATCAAAGGAGGCCAACAAAATTGCATGAAAGAAATGAAAGCTCAACTCAGTATCTCTCTCTCCTGGTGCCTAAACACATTTTACAAAAATGTCCTTTGAACCAGCAACAAACTTAGAAAACCAGAAACAGAACAGGAAGATAAACCCACAAGAGAAAACAACCATGACATTGCCACACCCCCTTGCAGTTTTCTCCAAAACATTTTTCTTACCAGATGAACACAATAAGTCAAAGAGCTCTATTTTTAATGCATGAGTCTTGGTTGTGACACAAACAGATAATTGGGAAATCTCTTGTCTGCAGCACAAGCCTAAAATGCAAAGTATCTATGTCTGTTAAATAGCACGTCTGACATAGAAAGTATTAAAATGAAAGGACGAATGAACTATGAGCAAATGGATGAATGTTTCTAAGAGAATTTTAGAGTAATTCAGCAAGATGTGACAATATATAAATTGGCTCATCAATTCTCAATATTCTCCTCATACTATATAACTATTTCTCCTCAACCTATCTATATAAAAAACTTATGTTAAAAAGGGAGGAGGGTCACTGAGACTAGCTTGAAAAACTTTCATTGTAAATGCCAAGGAGTTATTCTGCAAAAGAAAAGGATAAATCCAAAGACAAACAGAAGTAAGAGAAAAAAATTGCCAGCATGACTGAACTGGAGAGAACGGAGGTCATCTACCATGCTGTGATTCCTAAAAAAGAATTTTCAGTAAAGTTTTGCTCCATGTTATCAATGAAATTCCCATGCAATTTCTTGAGAGGTTGTAGTAAAGATTTAAATCATTTTATAAATATTTCTAGATATCACTTATTCATTTATCCCACAAATATTTATTGATATAGTTTCTTAGAACTGTGTTTACATTGGCAGCCTCTGTAGAGATAGGCCTTATGATGGAAGCAAGAAAGCCCAATTCTGTAAAATATCCAGAAGAAAAAAACTATAGTTGACCCTTGAACAAGGGTTTTTGAACTGCATGGGTCCACTTATAAGCAAACTCTTTTCAGTAAAAGTTGCACCGAGTATGCCTGCCTCTCCTGCCTCCCCTTCCACCTTCTTCACCTCTTCTGCTTCTGCCATCCCTGAGATGGCAAGAGCAACCTCTCCTCTTCCTCCTCCTTCTCAGCCTACTCAAGATGAAGATGATGAGGATAAAGACTGCTACTTAATGAATAATAAATATATGTTATTTTTCTTATGATTTCTTCATAGCACTAAGAATCTTTTTCTCCAGATTATTATATTACAAGAATACAATATATAATACATATGATAGACAAAATATGTGTTAACTAACTATTTATGTTCTGGTCAGCAGTAGGCTATTAGTAGTTAAGTCTAAGGGGAGTCAAAAGTTAAACACAGATTTTTGACTGCTCAAGGGGTCGCCCCTAAAGCCCCTGCATTTGTTCAAGGGTCAACTGTATCTTCTAATACTGCTTCTTGTTCTATTATTTGAGAACAACTCATATAGAAAATATGTTTCAGTCATTTCAATATGGAGGTTCCTCAAAAAGTTAAAAATAAAATTACCATATGATCCAGCAATTCTACTTCTGGGTATATATACAAAGGAAATCAAATCAGTACGTTAAATATATTTCTGCACTACTATGTCAGTTGCAGCATCGTTCACAATAACCAAGATATAGAATCAACCAAAGTGTCCATCAGTAAATAAACGGATAAAGCAAATGTGTTGTATATACACAATAGAATACTATTCAGTCTTCATATAGAAGGACATCCTATCTTTTGTGGCAACATGGATGAACCTGGTAGACATTACGCTAAGTGAAGTAAGCCAGGCACAGAAAGAGAAATACTGCCTGATCTCACTCGTATATGTGGAACTAAAAATGTTACACTCATAGAAGCAGAGAGTAGAGAGTAGAATGATGCCAGGGGCTGGGGTTGGGAAATAGGAGAAGTTGGCCAAAGGGTACAAGGTTTCAATCAGGCAAGATGAATAAGTTCTGAAGCTCTACAGTATGGCGACTATGGTTAATAATAATTTATTCTGTACTTGAAAATTGCTAAGAGAGTAGATCTTAAATGTTCTCACCACAAAAAAATTTTAAGTGGGTGCTGGATATGTTAATTGACTTGATGTGATCAATTTACAGTGGTTACATATAATCAAGACATCACCTTGCATACCATACATACATACAATGTGTTCTCAGTTGCAGTCAACTGACCAAAGAATCTCTGAAACAACTGTTCTTGCCAGACACTGCCTGTTCACCAGATAACTTTTTCCCATAGCTAGTCATGATGCTTTTTCATTCTCTTCTGAAGATTAAAGTATTGCCAGGCCTCATAAATTTCTCACGAATTGTGATTAAGTGCAACCTAATTCTAAGTACTGTTTGACTGACAAATGTCTTAAATCCTAAAAGCCTGGGCATCAAAATTGCTAACAACAATAACCCAAGCTACTTCCATCATGAATTTGATCTTTGCTTTAAAACAAAACAAAACAAAACAAAAACCCCAACATGATACTTCCATAGATAATGACCCACATAAAGTGTTCCCCATGACTAGTAATGGCATCTGTGTTACAGCCAGGACCAGGAAGAGAAGCGTGTGGCTCACCGCAGCCGGGACAGCAACAGAGATCCCTTCTAAAATCAGAACACAATGTAGCTCATTCTTCCACATCTTCCAGGGGAAACCAGATGATGAGTGTGCTGATGTCTTTTAAAAACAATCTGGTAAATGCTTTTAGATCCCGTGCCCTGAATACTGGCTGACCTATATATTTTTGGCAATGCTAGTGCCCTAGAGGGTCTGATGATTTGACAGGCAATTAAGGTCCTCAGTTGAGATGAATTTTGAAAAAGCGGAGATAAATAGACTAATTTCCTACAAAAGTATTTTCTTGTGATCTTTGAAATGTTAAGGGGGCCATGTCAGTGTATTATTTTGAGCATGGAAAATTTTGCTTTATAAAGACTGCCAGTATAAACAACTAAACCCCACAGCCAGTTGCTCATGCCAGATGAAGCAACTTTCCAGGCAGAAGCAGGGACTCTATCTAACCTAATGGGGTTGGGTGAGAGGACAAATTAAGACAGTACATTAGATTTCCTGTGTCAATTATCATTTGTTTTAATGTCATTACAAAGAGTATTGTAAAGATCCAATAAGATATTGTACAGAAAATGTCCAGTGATGTATCTGGCATTATCATCATCATTGCAACAGAAACACATTCTACCCATTGCTCAGATCAGGTGAAGAAATGTGAAAGCAAAAGAAATAATTTTTTTTGGACCAGAATATCTTTAACTATCTCAAAAGTATTGTAATGTCATATCATATACCTGAAATTTTGTATTTTTCTTGTAATCAAATATTGCAAACAGTATTTTGTTAGCAATAAGCCAGTGAATAGGAAAGGGAATGTAACCTCTTAAATAGTTATTACTTTTAAAAGACAGTTTGTCCACTGGACTTCTTTGGCAGATCTTCAATTACCAGTGTAGAGAACTAAAAGGAGCTTTAGGTATCATTCTTAAAACAAGGGAACTAAGACCCAAAGAGACTAAGGGAAATGCCTGACCTAGTACAAAGAAAGGGATCTACTTTGGATGTCTATACAAACCTCTTTATACTGATCTCATTTATGGATACATTGAAATGATGCTAAGTAACCCTTAGATGGCATGATCATACAAATAAGGAGAAATGAAGATTTGAAAAATAAACACTACTGGACAACTCTTTCTGCATAAATGACTGCTTTCGGTTCTCACAAAAAAAAATTGCAGCATAACTATGATTAGCACTATGTTTAAGATAAGGAAACGGAGGCCAATAAAGATCACAAGATCAAATAGGCAAAGCTGGGACTCAAATCCAGGTCTAACTAAGCTATGAAATCCCAGCCCTTTTTTTTTTTTTTTTTAATAGGCCTGGTGCCTTCTGGAAGGTTAGTGAGTCCTGCAACATCTCTGTGTTTCTTTTTTTAAATAATTGGTTTTTCTAATTTTCTGGCTGTTAAGCAGTTAAGCAGATGCTTAACAGCCAGAGGATGAACACTGTTCCAAGATCACATACCTGTAGAGGAGTCAATGATAAAAAGGGATGACAGGTCTCCCGGAAGGATTTCATAAGTCACTGTTCCATATATCCCAGAATCCCGGTCAGTGGCAAGAACATTGATGATCTCGGTGCCAGGCTGTGTCTGACCACTGATGCTTGTCACGTAGGTTGATGGGTTAAACACGGGATGGTTATCATTCACGTCTTCCAGCTCCACACGGACAAAGGCTTGGGCGCTCAGACCACCCTGGGGAAGAAAAAGCAGTGATTACAAATGGGTCTCTGCTGGACATGGGAATGCAGAATAATTGACAATGACCCTAGAACAGATTTTTGAAACAAAATTTGCATGTATAGATACACATACCTATATGAGCATTTTTCTTTCAATCTTGAGATAGGAGGTCATATGCAATGGCATAGTATCTATACCTGAGTTCTGATTTTTAAACATGAGTGAGATGACCACTTAAAAACCCTATGAGACAAAAATTTCATAACAGAAGCAAAAAAAAAAAAGTTTTCAAAAAAGTTGTCCCGACGTCCAAAAAACTCAGACATCACATTTATCTCTAAGTTAATTTTGAAATAATATTGGTAAGTGCTAAGGAGAAAGGGTAAGGGAGTATTCACGGGGAATACCCTGGCAAAAAGCCTCACTGAGAAGGTACCATTCAAGTACAGACTGGCCTACTGGAGGCAGCTAGACTTCAGTAATCTGGAAGAAAAGACTAATAGGCAGCAGAAAGAACAGGTACAAAGGCCCTGAGGCAGGAGTGCAGTATGTCTCTCTGGCCTGTCCAGGGTCAGCAAGGAAGCAGGAAGAACTGATGTCAGAGGGGAAGTGAGCCTCTATAGGCCTCTGGAACGACCATGGCTCTCCCCCACTGGAGAATTCTAACACAGGAGCAGCTCAATTTGACTTAGGTTCAGCACAGACTGAGTAGCAGCAGAGTATAAGGACAAACCCGACAGGAGGCTCTTCAAAACCATGAGTCCTGAGTGAAGGGTGCCTGAATGAAGCTGGGAGCAGTGAAGGTCCTCATCCTAAATATACTTGGGGCCAGATTTGTTTATGAATTGTGCATTTCTCAAGCTTTGGAGCAGTAACATAGTGCATAAAGCAGTAAGAAGTGCATCCCATACTGCTTATTATGTGTTACCGCCTTCTAAAAACAAGGAGAAAGGAAAATAGAAAAAAAAAAAATCCTCTGCGATTTTTACTTTTCTAAAAGCAGAACATATGTTCCTACTTTAAAGCACCATTTCCCACTTCTATTTGGTACATTTTGACACTTTCATCTTTGACAAAAATCCTTGGTAAGTCGCAACAGCCTGGGTTTTCTCACTCGTTCACTTTCCCCTCCTCCCTTTTAAAAAAAAATTTATTTTTATTGTTTTTTTTATTTTCTGCTGTGGCTGAGAGGCACTGAGCAAGGAGGAAAAAGGACAATGAAGAAGAAGACTTGGCAAGAGACAAAGGGAGGACTGCCGCTGTGCAGATAGGGAGGAAGCTCCTGTGGAGGGGAAGGGAGGGCAAGAAAGAGCGCATTGTTTGAGATGAAGTTCAGGACAAACCCAGAAACGGCTCTAGACTCTGAGGTCCCATGTACCCCAGGCTTTGGGGACCCAACAGAATGGGGAAATACATCTTTAGAAAGAGTGAGATCGTTCATGTTCTAACTTGAGTCAGGTATTAGGACTATGCCAATTATCAACTGGAGTAGGAAAAATGGGGGCTACTTAGGATGACGATAAAAACGATGCAAGTTCATCCATCTGGTCATGTGTGTAAAAGGCAGACTGGCCCTACAAGTTTAGCAACCCTAAATACCCTGTAAGTCTCCAGGCATAATGAATCGGAGGAGACTGCAGACTGATGATACACAAAGAGAAAATATTCCGTCACATCTGACACAGACCCTGTTGTCACTCCAAACTGACTTCTTGCTCAGTTTTGCTTTCCCTCTTCCCTTCCTTCTCCTCTTCCTTTTTTGTTTCTCCTCAAGTTCAAGAAGTCACTTAGAGTTGAGGAGGGGCTGAGAAAGCAGAGAAGAAAAGTAATGAGAAAGTGGGAAAGATTTGAAGAAATGAGTGTGGCACCATCTTAATATCTTTAAGAATAAAGACCTTAATTCCTAGGTTGTCCATGAAGATCCTAAATCAGGCAATGCTATTAAAAATAAGCAGATGTTAGACAAACAAAGCTAAAAACTTACTGTCAGAGAACAGTCAATCTTCCTGCAGGAAAAGTATTCTAGATCTCAGTTTTCCATTTTTATAAATTCATTTTTGTCTGCTGAATTCATCAAATAGGGAGTACTTTCCTATTATAATAATCATTCATGAATGTGTGTTGTGTGTTTTACATATATTTTCTTCTTCAATTGTCATAATCTTCCCTTTTTAGATTTTTTAAAAATTTTATTTTAAAGATGTGGAGTACAATTCTGGATTGGGGATACAAGTGGACATCGTACGGATAAAGTTTGGGCCTCCCTTTGGTCCCCACTTTGCCTGGTTTGAGATCAGGTACCCGTACTGATGCTGTGTCACCCACCCCCCCACACCCTGGGAATATCACACTATTGCCAATCCCTTTCTTAAAGTATTATGATAAATGTTCAGGGTCCACTTATGAGTGAGAACATGTGGTACTCTGTTCTTTGTTTCTGTGATAGATCACTGAATATTATAGACTCTAAATCCAACCAAGTTGCCGTGAAGTTCGTAGGTTTGTCCTTTATGGCTGCATAATATTCCATCATGTATATGTACCACATTTTTTTTTAATCCAGTTCAGTTTTGATGGGCAGCACAGTTGACTTCATATTTTTGCTATTGTGAATAGTCCTGCAATAAACATGTGTGTGCAGGTATTTTTTGTAGAACGATTTGAGTTCCTTCAGGTGTCTTCCCAGTAGTGGAATTTCTGGGTCATATGAAAGGTAACGTCTAGTTCTTTTAGAAATTGTCACACTGTTTTTCATAGAGGTTGAACTAGTTTGCAATCCCACCAACAGTGCAGGAGCATTTCCTTTTCTCCGCATCCTTGCCGGCATCTGTTGTTGTTTTATTAATGATGACCATTCTTACTGGGTAGGGTGGTATCTCATTGTGGTTTTGATTTGCATTTTTCTGATGATTAGTAAGTCTAAGCACTTTCATGTGTATATAGGTTGTCTGTATATCTTCTTTTGAGAAGTGTCTATTCATGTCTTTTGCCCACTTTTTAATGGGGCTGTTTGTTTTTTTACCTTTCAGCACATTTGAGTTCCTTGTAGATCCTGGATGTTAGACTGTTGTCAGATACACAGTTGGCAAATATTTTTTCTCATTCTGTGGGCTGTCTCCCTGCTCTCTTGATGGCTTCTTTGACTTTGCAGAAGTTTTTCAGATTACTGAGGTCCCACTTGTCTATTTTATCTCTTACAGCATGGGCATTTGAGGTTTTGATCAGGAATTGGTTGAATACTCTGATTTCCTTAAGGATGTCTCCTGTGTTTTCTAAGATTCTTATAGCTTGAGGTTTTACATTTAGGTCTTTGATCCATACAGAGTCAATTTTTGTGTATGGTGACAGGTAGGGATCCTGTTTCAATCTTCTGCATGTGGTCAGCCAGTTTTCCCAGCACCATTTGCTGAATAAGGTCTCCTCTTCCCAGTGGTTGATGGTGGAGGCTTTGTTGAAGATGAGCTGGTTGAGAAATTGAAGTTTTTCTTCTGGAATCTCGACCCTCTTGCATTGGTCCATATGCCTGTTCTTGTACCAATACCAGGCTGTTTTGATTATTGCAGTCTTATCATAAAGTGTAAAGTTGGAAGTGTGATACCGCTTGCTTTGTTTCTTTTGCTGAGGATTGTTTTGGCTATTCTTATTTATTTATGTTTCCATATGAATTTCTGTATTGGCATTTCCAGGTCTGAGATGAATGATATTGGTAATTTAATGGATATTGCATGGAATCTGTAGATTGCCTTTGGTAGGATGGACATCTTAGCAATGTTGATTCTTCCCATCTATGAGCATGGAATATTTTTCCATTTGAGTCTTCTTGGATTTCTTTGAGCAGTGTTTTGTAGTTTTTAGATTGTTATGGCTTTCCCCCATTACAGTTAAGACCAAAGCATCAAAGGGTTAAGTGATTTGTGCAAGGTAAACACAACTAACTGTAAATAGATCTGCAGGTGAAACATTTATCTGTCCCCCAAAGTCCTTGTGATTTCTTTTAAATTAGATTTCTTAAATTTTTGCTATGGTGTAAATTCTACCTTTCATGTAATACTTGTTTACAGCTGTACTTGGGAGAATGCTAATCATGGAATCCTTCTTAGAAAATAGAAGAAAGACAGGGTCCCTGGTTTTAAGGAACTTACAGTCTATAAGACAGACACTATACAAGTATGTTTGTGGAACAGTGGAACAATCTGGAGCTGAAAGACCTGGGTCCAATGCCTGGCTCTGCCTGCACTAAGGTCCACAGCCTAGAGAAAGTCGGGTCGTCTCTGAGTCTGAGCCACCTCTTCTGTAGACCAGAGCTATCTGCTTGCCTCTTGCCTCTTGGGCTTGTTACTGAGTTAATGGCATAATACATGTGAAAATATTTATAGGAGTTAATAACTATTAAATAGTTCTTACAGGTGCCTTATTCTAAATATTTGGGACTAGATAGATTTGTCTTAGACATGTGAATGTTTCAAGTTTTAGAAAGGTTATATAGTGCCATAGACCCAATGGGGCCTGGGGTGGTACACCACAATCAAGCACTTATATGAAGCAAAATGTATGAATAGATACACTTGTAGGGGAAAATCACCCACGGATAACCTCGGGTCAGTTTAAGACAGGTTTCTCACTAGGCGAGTTTTTGAAACTTCCCATGATGAGAGTTTTGGGTTTCAAAACTATAGATACACAATCACGGTATTCTTTCCAATGTAGACATGTGCTACCACTAAGCTATGAGCATCGAACAGAGGCAAACTTCAACACTGAAGGGTCCTTGAGTCAGGTCCTCAAAAACAAATAGGATTTGACAGTCAGATATTCTAGGTGGCAGTAACATTCTAGAAAGTGTAATGACATAAAAAAATAGACTGCTATGTTACAGGACAGGTTAGCAAACTAATTGGAATAGAAGGATTGGGCATGTAGAGGGAGAGGATAGGTAGGATAGAGAGGAAACGCTTGACAGGTTCTTGCCACTTGATTTAAATGCTAAGGAGGATAGACTTTATTCTGCACAC